TGTGTGTGTGTGTGTGTGTGTGTGTGTGTGTGTGTGTGTGTGTGTGTTTTTGTGTTTATGTGGAAATGTGCATTCATTTGTAACACTAACTTACCGATATAGATGCACGACACAAGCAATTTTAGAGCAGGAATTGAAAATTTCTCATTCTCCACCTTGGCCAGTTCAAGTGCAAGTTTTTCTACACTAGAGAGCAATTGGTTTTGCCCGTCAACAGAATTACAATTTCGATTGTTGAGGACAATCATACGTTCCAAGCCCTACGAATAGATACAATAGCAACAAATACCATAAAATAAAATCGAAAAACACTTAATGTAATAGAAAGAGAAAAAAATTAGAAAAAATGCGCTGCCTATGCCAACTGAAGCTAAGTTAGTGTAAGTTGTGTAGGTTGTGGCACAACCACATGCAAACAGAGCAAAATAATACCGACCGACAATGAAATGAAATGAAATGAAATGAAAAGAAATAAAACAAATTAAGATAATAACAATAAAACTAACAATTGAAAAGAGCATGTAAAAGCCACCAGACCAACTATGTGAAACCGTCTGCCGAACTAAATGCGAATGCTATCGTCATTAGTTTACTACATACGCACGCGGCCGCAGATATGTATCAGAAAGCTTGAAGTATAAAAACCGTTCGTACACTCATATATATATATATATGTACATGTGTATGTATATGTGTATGCGACTATTTACATAAATGTTTACACCAATTTCTGTTACATGCATGTCTAAACACGTAGATAAAGGAAAAAATAATTTCGATATCGGGGGCGGTTGACAAATAGCAATGTGCGGTACACGATTCGAAACGAAATCGCACGGAACGAAATTATATCGTTGTTTGATATGTGCCTACGCATATGCATCAGATTGACTTACATGTAAAACGCAAACATAAATCTGTTCATTGCTGGTTTCCTCTAATAATTTGCTGACAGCCATTTCAACCTGGGCTGAGGTGTTAAACTGGGAATCCAGCTTCCAAAGCCATTCCATTAGGCAATAATTCAGAGTCCATACTAATTTCGTGTGTATGTCACTGCATTGAATTGAACTGAAAATAAACAAGAAAATAATAAGGAAGAGATCCCTCAAAATGAACCGCTCTCCCGACCTCTCGCTCAGGACGCCATATTTATCGATATAATTCACTGAAAGCTGTTTCAACAAATCCAATTCATCGCTTAATTTCCCTATTGATGTATTGGTCTTATGACAACATTCCAACAAACTGAGAACACCACATAGCGTAGCGCAACGAATAAAAACATGAGACGATTTTAAATAGCTCCTCAATAAAGACTCCAGATGTTGTACTTCTGCTAACGTGGGTATTAGCATTGCATTGGTTTTGCAAAGCAAATAAATCAAGTGCTGATGAGAAACTGTGTCATCCATGGGTATATGGGATTGCAAGTAGGCCGCTTTTTTAGATATCTGTTTAATTTGATCGCGATCTTCGCAGATCTCCATAAATTTTACCAAGTTCGGCAGAACCAAAATGTGATTGTGCTGTAAGCGAAACAAGGTGGAAAGGATTGCGCATGATTTTATATGTTTTTTTTTTTTTGTTTTCATTTTTTTACTTAAGCAGTAAGAGGACAAGAAAGCTTACTTCAATCAATTGCATTAACACGTCGAATATTAGCTGCGTACTGCTTTTGTAATCGATACCGGAGTGTGTGGTAAAGTATTGAAAATTGCGATAAGCAACATTAGCGGTTTTACCATCTAATTGAACCGACGTAGGGCTTGACTTTCTTGCTGGAAATTCTTCTTCAAAAGCAAGGCTACCGTCGCCTTCATTCAGTGGGCTATGTTGAGCAGAAGAGGACTCCATACGATGCCAAATAAAGTTTAAGTCGTACTGATTAACCCAAAAGTTATGTGTACCGATCACAATGTCGTTCAAAAGATTCCGTTCCAAATTTGGATGATAGAAAACATTCGATCCGGATATCATAAGTTGCACGTTATGTAACTTTTTGAAGCTGCTTCACGTATGGTAAGTGTAAAAGAAAAGAAAATATTTCTCAGATTTCTAATATTAATACATATACGTATATCCATATATGCATATCAGACTTACTTATGTACATACATACATATGTAAACGTGTATATACCCATATATACTTTTACTTCCAAAAAAAAAAAAAAAAAAAAAAGAATACCAGCTTCAAAATAGTCTAATACCTCATTAACTCAAATATTAAAGGAATTTAAAAAAAAAAAGTATCTTTTTTTAACTAATCATAAAATCTTTTGTGGCCAGCATTTCTTGCAGTTCTTCACTTTCAATTTAGTTTCTCTAGAGAGTATTGCCTACCTATTCATTATATATTAGTTTTTGTAAGCGAATTTCTAACGAAGACTGACGCACGATGTAGTTGAGTGCAAGATTTTTTTTATTGAAAAATTTTGGGACCGAGCCTGTCATTGTAGACCAATAGACCAAAGACAATATATAGCGTACGGGTTTCGTTGAAGGATAAAACAGAGGGTTTTTAAGAGTCGCTTTAAACTCTGAATATAATTTCTTTCTTCCCGTTTGTAGATGCAAGCATTGCAGAACATTAGAAGAGACCACAAACCTTTTACTTTTTTTTTGCAAAATGCAACGCAACGCATCAAAACAGTTTGTACCTCAAGATAGAAAACAAAAATGGGAGAAATAATGAAAAAGCCAACGATAAATGTGGTGGAATGTAAACCTCATCAAGTGATAGTAAAACTAAATAATGTAATATAACCCATATGTGCGGTGAGGAGTGATTAATGATTGCTAAAAAGGAAGAAAAAAATTATATGCAGCTTGCATCGAATTTTTAATATCCCGTACCTACCCACCTTACATTTTGTGATAATCACTTCGTACATTTCACTGCGTAAGGAAGAGCAGACAACAGATAGATAGATTGATAGGCAGACATATGCAAATTTTTGCTCTCTGATTTTTCTATGTTAATAGCTTTTCATTGATTTGATATAAAGTTATGCTGAGTATAATGTGAAAGAAAGATTCTTTTAACATTTCGAAAACTATGAAAATATGTTTCATCAAAATTATATCACTGTACTGTAAATGTGTGATATGTTATGTAACTTGTCACTCAACAGATGAACATGAATTTCAAAGCAGACACTATATGCAAGCTATTGCCACAGCATAATGTGTTCAAAGCGCAAAGTACAGGCGATTGTTTTCATACCTCTAGTTTCTCTTAGTTTCATGATGAGCATTTCATTTCTTGAACTGAAACTTTTTGGAGTGACTGCCATTCGTAGTGTACAAAAAATTATTATCTCAAACTTTTTAGGGAATTTTTTCTGTTAATCTTTTTGCAACAACGCAAAAATGATTTTTCAAAGTTAAAAGGAACACAAAAATGTTGATACAACCGCAAATATTTCGCATGCTTTACAACGATACCCAAGCGCTATTTGTAGCATACTTACATACATTTTAATAGTTTCATTTTTGTACTGCGTGTATATGCAACAACGCAAAAGGAAACTTTAAATAGCAATAAACAAACTTTCGTTTACCTATTTGTAGAGCATGACATGTTATACAAAAATTTATTCGCATTCAGCTCGATTTTAAATGATTATGCTGCGGTTCTTTTTTGCGAACCTGTTCACCTCCTCATTGCACATATTATATATAGTCGATTGATCAGGTGCCGAATATCACAAACACCAAATATGCTCACTGCCTGGGCATGCACACAAGGCAGCGGCCGCTCCCCGCCCTCGCCTCTCGAATTGCTACGCTCCTGAGAAATTTTGGTGATATTAAGGAACAAATCATTTCACTCGGTGTTTAAATCTGTCTATGGAAGTTGCGACTAAAAGAATTCGAAAACTTCTAGTCTGGATGAGCAATTTATGCGTATGAGGAGAGTATACGGAATCGCATTCAGATAATTCATCAAATTCAGCATTCCACATTCAACTCCGGCAGTATTTTTACAGTGCAGCATTTAGAACCTTATGTCTCGTATGTTTTCTAACGCATTGGCTACCTGATATGCGGGTCTTTTATGAATTTATTTGTCTCAAAACTGTAGACCTGCTCCCGCTGGTAAAATAAGGTTTACAAAGAAAGAATGTGTGTTGGAGTTACATCATATTTGGTCAAGCTTTTGGAAGAAAATTCTTGAGCTATGATGAAAAAAATTGACCATGTTACGGAATAAAGCATACAGCGACGACTTTCGTTCAAGCTAAATGAGTCTATGTATTCCATGACTTATAAATATGTTCGTAAGAATTCATATGGAAAAATAATTAGCTTGAATCCTGGGTAAGTGATACTAACATTTTTTTAAGAGTTTTCAACTTTTATGTATGTCAAGCAATGATAAGATTCTATTCTTTGTGAATATAGTTAGCATACTTTTCGTACACCAAGCTAGTGAAAATAATTTTCTACGAATTAGTTTCGTTTTATGCCAATAATAAAAAAACATCAGAAATATGAAATACTGAAGTAATGTTAAATTATTTCAAATGTTGCTAACCATTACGCAATTCGCTTCTTTTTTTTAGGTAGACACTGGCGTTTTGCGTTTTTCTTTTTT